TTTTCAATGACCATCACTCCTTGACACAAAATCACGAAGAATGTAAGGCAGGAATTATTATTACTACCCCTATTTTATAAATGAAGACATAGACGCTAAAAGAAGTCATAAATCCTACACGAAGCCACGCCATTAAACTTTGCCTCATTTTAAACACAGAAAGTTAATGGAATCCATGCAGGTTTCAGCCTAAATTTTATCAAAGCCCATTCATGGAACTCATTGGACTTCACCTTAATTATGACCTGATTTTGTTTCTTAGGTCCACACATAGCAAGTCTCAGCTTCCCTTTACACTACCTATTAGTAAGTACATTGATTTAATATGGACAATAAGGTCAAGTGAATACACAATTTTGTGCACACGACTCTTACCCTGTGGAAGACAGAATTGCTGACCCTTAAAGAAATGTGTGTGTGCCAATGTACACACACACTCATATTACAAAGATATAAATACATATTTTAACGTACACACATGTACACACACATACGTGAAATATTTGATGCTGGATTTTCCCAAAATGCACCTGCAAAGAGAACTTTAATACTTTATTTCATTAGTACAGGACAGTTTTATACCTAATAACTCTCACTTTCATTCTCTCTCTCTCTTTCTCTGGTATCTAGGTGTAATTAAAGTTTAATTGTGAGAAATTTCCCTGATAATTTCTGATTTATCAAAGTTCATCCAAAATATAATTCCTACACATTAACAGTGTCAGTACTCTTGAATTTAGCCTGAATTGGATAAGTCATTTGTAATATACCAAAGGAAATATGTTTCCTTGGAGAATTTGAAAAGGTCATGGTGAAACTTAGAAAGAAATATAATAAATGAAATTTTCATCATACTATTTACACTTCCTTTTCTGTAAAATGTCCTTTTTAGAAGTAGTATATCTATTCCAGATACACCATAAAATTCCTAACATCCACTGCGGAATTAAATCAAAGCCCAATGACCATATGGTTAAATTATTCACCACGGAATACTGCTTTTTAAAATTCTTTTTACTTCGGCTACAGTGGTCCCCAGCCAATCCTGATGCATTAAGAATGTCTGACACATTAGCATATTTTATAATTGAGCTGAGAAATGATGTTCTTATTAATTTATTTTTGAAATATTAACTTGCTTTAAAAGAAAGTGTAATGAATAAATGTCAGAAATATTTATGACAACACATTGTTATATCAAGTATGCCCTTGAAATTCCAAGCTACATGAACATGAAGATTACTGTGCCTTTGAAGAAAGTTCTCCTTTTATAAAGGCAAACTGTAGTCTGAATCATGCTATGGAGCAGCCTAATATAAGTAAACAAAGAATGGCACAGACTCAAAATAATCAGCTACTATTATATTAGTAAGAATGATTCAGAGGAATTGATAAACAGTGAAGTTTACACTGTCATTGATTTTCCTTGAAGCTGTATTACATTCTGTTTTATAGAATGATGTTTAGCATTTAGTTATGCATTGTAACTTTTGTGCTCTAATAATTTCGTCTAAATTTGTCTTCCTCCAAAATTTCAAATTATTCATGGTAAGAAAATAAGCTGCATTCTACACATCCTCATGGCACGTACATTTATTAAATACTTAATCCAAATTCTCTTTTACGTTACTTAAATAAATTTTGAGGTGGCTTAGATAATAGCCATTGATAATCTGACTAAAATCACAAAAAGATTGACAGTTTGGACATATTAGATACAATAAATAATTGGTCAATTAATATAAGGTTTTATATTTATTATAGGCAAGACTGTGGCTTAGTACATAATTGTCATGCTTGACTTATTGGATTAAATATATGGAATGTAAAGAGCAATGGTATTTGAGATAATAAGGCTTAAGTCATTAATGAGATTTGCTTCAATCCTAATATGTAAGCACCAAGAGCAGTGCTTTCCAAAGTCTAGAAAACTTATTTATTTATTTTTTTTTTGAGGAAGATTAGCTTTGAGCTAACTGCTGCCAATCTCCTCTTTCTGCTGAGGAAGATTGGCTCTGAGCTAACATCCATGCCCATCTTCCTCTACTTTATATGTGAGATGCCTACCACAGCATGGCTTTGCCAAGGGGTGCCATGTCCGCATCCAGGATCCGAACCAGTGAACCCTGGGCCGCCGAAGCTGAATGTGCACACTTAACCACTGTGCCATCAGGCAAGGCCCCGTATGTTGTTTCTTGACTGTCACCACATACGTGCTCCCCTTCACCCCCTTTGCCTACCCCCTACCCCTCTTCCCCTGGTAACCACTGAACTGTTTCCTCTGTCCATGCATTTGTTTATATTCCACATGAATGATATCATCTGGTGTTTGTCTTTCTCAGTCTGGCTTATTTTGCTTAGCACAATTCCTTCTAGGCCCTTCCATGTTATTGAGAATGGGATGGATTTGTCTTTTTTTCTGGCTGAGTAATATTCCATTGTAATGGAAAATGGAGTAATATATATATATAGCGCGTCTTCTTTATCCAATCATCAGTCAATGGGTACTTGGGTTGCTTCCATGTATTGGCTATTGTGAATAGTGCTGCAATGAACACGGGGTGTATATGTTACTTTGGATTGTTGATTTCAAATTGTTTGGGTAGATACCCAGTAGTGGGATAGCTGGGTCATATGTTAGTTCTATTTTTAGTTCTTTGAGGAATCTCCATACTGTTTTCCATAGTGGCTGCACCAGTTTGCATTCCCACCAGCAGCGTATGATGGTTCCCTTCTCTCCACACCCTCTCCAACATTTGATCGTTAGTCTTAGCGATTATAGCCATTTTAACAAACGAAGGTAATATCTTAGTCTAGTTTTGATTTGCATTTCCCTGGTAATTAGTGATGTTGAACATCTTTTCATGTGTTTATTGGCCATCTGTGTATCTTCTTTGGAAAAATGTCTGTTCATCTTCTCTGCCCACTTTTTGATTGGGTTGTTTGCTTTTTTATTATTCAGTTGTGTGAGTTCCTTATATATTATGGAGATTAACACCTTGTCAGATATATGATTTTCAAGTATTTTCTCCCAATAGGTGAGTTGTCTCTTTGTTTTGATTCCAGTTTCTTTTGCCTCGCAGATCTTTAGTCTTATGAATTCCCACTTGTTTATTTTTTCTTTTGTTTCCCTTGTCTGAGAAGACATGGTATTTGAAAAGATCCTTTTTAGTTTGATGTCAAAGAGTATACTACCTATATTGTCTTCCAGGAATTTTATAGTTTCAGGACTTATCTTCAAGTCTTTGATCCATTTTGAGTTTATTTTTCGGTATGGCGTGAGATAGTGGTATACCTTCATTCTTTTGCATGTGGCTGTTCACCATTTATTGAAGAGACTATCTTTTCTCCATTGTATGTTCTTGGCTCCTTTGTCGAAGATTAGCTGTCCGTAGATGTGCGGTTTTATTTCTGGGCTTTCGGTTCTGTTCCGTTGATCTCTGTGCCTGTTTTTGTACCAGTACCATGCCATTTTGATCACTATGGCTTTGCAGTACGTTTTGAAGTCAGGGATTGTGATACATCCAGCTTTGTTCTTTTTTCTCTAGATAGCCTTATCAATTTAGGGTCTTTGCTCTATTAGATTCTTTGCTCTATTTCTGTGAAGAATGTCATTGGGATTCTGATTAGGGTTGCATTGAATCTGTAGATTGCTTTGGGTAGTATGGACATTTTAACTATGTTTATTCTTCCAGTCCATGAGCAAGGAATCTCTTTACATCTCTTTATGTCATTATCAATTTCTTTCAGTAATGTCTTATAGTTTTCATTGTATAAGTCCTTCACATCCTTCCTTAAATTTATTCCTGGGTATTTTATTCTTTCAGTTGCGATTGCAAATGGAATTGTATTCTTGCATTCTTTTTCTGTAAGTTTGTTATTGGAGTATAGAAAAGCAACTGATTTTTGTAAGTTGATTCTATACCCTGCAACTTTACTGTAGTTGTTGATTATTTCTATTAGTTTTCCAATGGATTTTTTTGGGGGTTTTCTACATATAATATGATGCAAATATCAAGAGTTTCACTTCTTCACTTCCCTATTTGGATTCCTTTTATTCCCTTCTCTTGCTCAATTTCTCTGGCCAAAATCTCCAGTACCATGTTGAATAAGAGTGCTGATAGTGGGCATCCTTGTCTTGTTCCTGTTCTCAGGGGGATGGAACTCAGTTTTTGCCCATTGAATATGATGTTGGCTATGGGTTTTTCATATATGGCCTTTATTATGTTGTGGTAATTTCATTCTATCCACATTTTGTTAAGAGTTTTTTATCATAAATGGCCTTTGGATCTTGTCAATTGCTTTCTCTACATCAATTGAGATGATCAGGTGGTTTTTATTCCTCAATTTGTTGATGTGGTATATCACGTTGATTGATTTGCAGGTGTTGAACCATCCCTGTGTCTCTGGTATGAATCTCACTCGATCATGATGTATGATCCTTTTGATGTATTGCTGAATTCGGGTTGCTAAAATTTTGTTGAGGATTTTTCATCTATGTTCATCAATGATATTGGCCTGTAGTTCTCCTTTATTGTGCTGTCCTTGTCAGGCTTTGGTATCAGAGTGATGCTGGCCTCATAGAATGTGTTAGGAAGTGTTTCATCTTTCCTAATTTTTTGGAATAGCTTGAGAAGGATAGGTATTAAATTCTCTCTGAAAGTTTGGTAGATTTCCCTAGGAAAGCCATCTGGTCCTGGGGTTTTATTCTTTGGGATACTTTTGATTGCTGTTTCAATCTCTTTCTTTGTCATAGGTCTGTTCGGATTGTCTGCTTCTTCTTGATTCAGCTTTGGGAGGTTGTAAGAGTCTAAGAATTTATCCATTTCCTCTAGGTTATCCATTTTATTGGCATATAGTTTTTCAAAGAATTCTCCTATAACCTGTTGTATTTCAGTGGAGTCTGTTGTTATTTCTCCTCTTTCATTTCTGATTTTGTTTGTCTGAGCTTTTTCTCTTTTTTTCTTTGTAAGTCTGGCTAGGGGTTTGTCAATTTTATTAAAAATATTGAACGTTTCACAAATTTGCATGTCATCCTTGTGCTGGGGCCATGCTAATCGTCTCTGTATTGTTCCAATTTTAGTATATGTGCTGCTGAAGTGAGCACCATACTTCTATTTCTTCTGCTCCTTCAGGTGTATATTTAATACTTGCCACAAAAATAGTTCACGAGGAGGCTATTACTTTACAACTCAGAAAGGCCATTTGATAGAGAGATAGATAGATAGATAGATAGATAGATAGATATTAGACAGATGATAGATAGATAGATAGATAGACCAACTGATCAACCCTGGAAAATTACGTGTCAACCAGCGGACTTTGTCTGGTTTTATCTGTAGTACTTTTTATACTTACTTTTCTGCTCATCAGAGATTATTCTAATGACCCGCCAAATGATGAAAGAAAACAGAGATCATAGCAATTCATGATCATGTATAATTGCATGTAAAATGTATTCACTTTATTTCACTTTGCTTTTGAAATCATAAAAACACCATTAAAGGACCAGAACATTTTTTTCTCCTCTTTGGAAGCTTACAACACTCTTAAAAAGTATCGAATTTTGCATCAGTACTAAGGAGGGTTTCTGAGGTGCTACAAGGTGTCTTAGTTTGGGATACTGGGGAAGCTGACCCTGAGATAAGAATTCTAGCGACACTGTTTTAGCTGGGAGGGCAAGAAACAAAGTTGGAGGCCTGAGGATTGGAAACAAAGAAGGGGAATAGTCATTGAAAGCTTAAACAAAAAGATATTATTTAGTCAACATCCACTGAGTGACTGGAACTTAAATCCACCAGGGAACTTGAGGAAATGGTGTAAATTATATTTTTTCAGCATTATCTCCCTGGATGGATGAAGCAGCTGAACTTTTATACATTAACGCCTTTCAGTCAACAGTTAAGGAATGATCCTAGGACTGTTCATTTCCAGGAACTTAAGGCCTGCCATGAGCTGATAGTGATCTTCTATGGTTGACATAAGTCCTTGGGCGCAGAGAAATAGATCGTGGCAGCTGGAAATCTGCTGAAGCACATTGAAATTTATGAGGGGTTTAGGTGTGGCCCTGTCCTGTTTCATCACTCAGATCCTTTTGTGCTCCATATTAAATTCCCTCCATCCTATCATTACTTCTTCAAGGTGATAACAAATCACAATTTCTAAGGATACTTATAACAAGAGGGTTAATGAGCAAAAGCCACAGTTCTCTCTGATGTAATCAGCAGTGAAGTCACAACTGATATTCATACCCCTCTTTTCTCACCCATTTTAGAGTCCCTTTACCTCCAAACAGCAATTGTCCTGTTCTAGATTTCTTGCCAGTGAGGTACCCTCAGTGATGTGCTGATAATTGCTTCACAACTGGCTCCCAAACCATACTTCCAAACAACGTTAGTTGATATGTTTCCTTATGATGTGCAAACAAATGAGAGTCAGGCAAAACTGTAAAGACATTTATCAAAACTACACTCATCTATCAGTGACGTAAGCAAATTCCTATGTCAGATGATAGTTTTTGAAACTGGAAATATGTTTTCTCCATGATTTGTGCTCCTCATCATGGAACAGTTATAGACCTAACACACTCTGAAGTATCATCTGCTCTATTAACATCTTCTATATAACTTTTGAAAATCTAAACGATGGAGCAGAAATGTTTTCTATGTGAAGAAACAGGGAGTAAACATTTTAAGCTTTGTGGGCACATACAGTTTTTGTCACATACTTTTCTTTTTTATGTTTGCTTGGGTTTTTTTTTTTTTTTCCGTGAGGATGATTGGCCCTGAGCTAATATCTGTTGCCAATCTTCCTCTTTTTGGTTGAGGAAGATTGTCGCTGAGCTAACATCCATACCAATCTTTCTCTATTTTGTATGTGGGATGCTGTCACAGCATGGCTTGATGACTGGTGTAGAGGTCCATGCCTGGGATCTGAACCAGTGAACCCTGGGTCGCTGAAGCAGAGTGTGCAAACTTAACCACTATGCCACGAGGCTGGCCCCTATGTTTGTTTGTTTTTAATAACCCTTTAAAATGTAAACAGCATTCTTGGCTTATAATTTTCAGAGAAAAAAGGCCACAAGCCAGATTTGGCCTCTAGGCTCTAGATTTTTGACTCCTGTTTTGGACAATCCACAAAACAATAAATCAAGCCCAGATGTGCAGCGTTTCCAAATTTGCATGGTATAAATACTCTCACTATGGCTAGTTTCAAGCTACCTATGTAAGGTTGGGGATTGTACAAAAGCACACCATTATATAGTATTTCCAAATAAATAAATTCTTAATTATCTCAGAAGCACAGATAACAACAAAGTAAAGTAAAATAATTAGGAAGTTATGAGTTTTGAATATTTACTAGGTTTAGTCTTCATATAATTTATTTAATTACAAGTTTACATAATTTAATGTTTAAACCATTACTCTATTTAACTACTAGATCACAAAGGTTTAATATTTTAACAATTGCTTTACATAAGCTGGTCTGAACATATCCAGGATACCACTGTGGAACACAGACCTTCATCCTAAAGAGTCTGAGTCCGTGGTTATGTTGCAGCAAATTCCCATTTATGGTATTTGTGAATATGAAAGCACCAATCACTTTCCTTGTGAATCTCAATTCCAAATTTTCTCTTCCCTGCTCCTATCATGTAAATCACGACCTATGTCCTGATCATAATCCATCTCAATTATCCAGCCAATAGAGTAACTCCTTCCTTTGACTATTGATTTATTGGTGTGAGGACTCCAACATTCCTAGGCGGCAGCTATGATTTTAGGTTTACTAAAATCCTTACTGTGTCCATTGTAGAAGTGTTTTTCCCTTTGGAAAAAGGACTTCTAGACCAGTTAGGATTAAAGTTGAAGTGACAGGAAGAATAAGTTCCCCAGGGGAGACACTCGGATTACTGGTAAGACAAGGCTCTCCAACTTCCACTTCTTGGTTTCCAGATGCATGTATTCTACTATGGAGCATACATATTTGGTTCAATTATGTACTGTATTTTGTAGCAGGGAACATCGATCCTGCAGGGGATCATCTTAACCTCTATGCTTAGAGAGATGTGTTAGTCAACTTCGGCGGCTATAACAAAATACCATAGACTGGGTGGCCTAAACAACAGATATTTATTCCTCAAAGGTCTAGAGGCTGGGAAGTCCAAGATCAAGGGGCTTGCCAATTTGGTATCCTGATAAGCACCCACCTCCTGACTTATAGAAGGCTGCCTTCTGTCTGTGTTCTCCCAAGGTGAAGGTAGGGGAAGAGCTTTCTCTGGTCCCTCTTGCTCATCTTATGAGGACACTAGTTCCATCATGGTCGCTCCACACTCATGAACTCACCTAAACCTAATTACCTCCCAAAGACCCACTTCTAAATACCATCCCACTGGGGGTTAGGGATTCAATATATGAATTTGAGGGGACACAAACATTCAATCCATAACAGAACATTCCAAAGACTGTTAGTCTGACAGCATCTGGGGGAAGGGATTTACGGTAGAACCAGTGGATCAGGTGGTCATATGTTCACTGTCACAACTCCTCCGCTGTAAAGTGGGCCCCTGCTCTGTGGTGATTCTGAGGTAAGGTCCCAAGATGATAAATCAGGCACTCTATTGAACCCTCACATAATATTCTGGCTAAGGCATTACAAGCAAGGGAATCACACTTAAACTCAAAATATGTCTCAATTCCAATAAATATATAGGACTTCTCCCTTCCTGGTCAAAGATCTGTGATGTAATCAACCTCTTACCACCTAAGGGGTTGGTACAATACCACAAGGTCAATCTCTGTATGTTTCTCATAGTTTGGGCATTTAGTAGCACTAGTAGCTAGATATGCTGTTGTGAGAGGGAACTCAATGTCGTTAGACCCCTGAATAACCTTTTTCCCACCACCATGGCTACTCCATTCATGGGCCATTGTGTCATCATTGAAGTATTAGTGTTAGATCAGACCACACATCCAAAAGCCTTGGGAATATCTGGGAATTCCATTTTCTCCAGTGAATGATTCTCAGATAAATGGCTGTAGCTTCCTGTGGGTGAAAGATTGGAGAAATTTCTGCTCTGTACTTTTCCTGTGATGTTATAGAGTCCTTCTTCGTGATGACCCGGGCTCTACTTAATTTTAAGAGCTCAGGGTCTGCAACTGGCTCAAGTCTGGAAACTGGCTAAGATGCTATGATTTTCTATTTGGTTGACATTAGTTTTAAGTTATATAGATCAGTCAATATCCTTGTTCTCTGCCCATCTATTTTGCCTCTAGGAACACCATGACATATTAGTCATAGCCACAAATTCCTGAGAGTCATTATTCTCTGATTTTCATTCTGCTTCTTACCGTAATATGTCCACCTTCCTTCTGAAAGTAAAATGTTACCACCTGGCCTCGGCTATTGCAGAATCCTATCAACCCCATTAATTCTAGAGTGGCAAGTTCTATAACAACCTCTCTACCATCAACTCTGGCTTCTCAAAGATATCCATGACTCCACAACATAGCCATTATTATTTGTTTTATTGAAGACAATGTCTCTGGTTTTTCCTGGTAAACATAGTTTACTATAGCTATCTGTTTTCTTGTCTTATGCAATATATTCATACTAACACTCTAACCTCATTGAGCATTTTGATCACATTTTCAATACTTTGCCAAGTCAATATTATCATTTCTACCTCATTAATTGTAAATCATTGATTTTTTCATGCTCCAAGTAGCAATTTCAGCTGTGTGTTGGAATTGATTCTAAATGTACTTGCCAGTGTGTAAAATCTGAGTCACATGAGAATGTGTTTCATCAAGAAATTCTCTTTATCTGTCATAATATCTCCCTCTTAGTCAGCTCCCTCAAAATCCATTCCTAGGCATGTTCTGTTGGAGTTCTCTCAGGAGACTTACCTGGGTTGTGAATTAAACCTTTTCTATTGCTCTCATAATCAGATTCTGGAACTGGTTGCCCAGGCCAATCTGTCTTCCATTTTCGGACTATGGCAGTCTTATTACATACTATCGTGCATGCCTTGTGACATTCACACCTTGCCCGGTGATGATTGTTGAATAACTTAGACCTGCAATTTTTTTTCAGGGCCTTAATGAT